TGAATTAATATGATATTATATGATGCGATCATTTCAAGATCAGTGTCAACATTATCGATGAGAGTGTGAGAAAAGTTTATGTGGAATATTGAAAGCTGTGAATGAACAAATCCCAAATAAAAACAGTCGAAGTTTTTTATATTTATTTAGTATAAACACTTCAAAGGCTGAGAAGAGCATTATGTCCATACGCAGCTGTTTAACCGATCGATAGATAGTAACCATAGTTGAAACCATCGAGTGGATCCACTAACGATGGCATTGCAGCTCTACCCCTTACCCCTGCGATGATATTCCAATCTTTCTTCGCTTCTTTTATACATACATAACAATGAATACATATTTACGCACATACATACGCACAAAAACATGATGCTTGCCATAAACAATAAACAATAACAGAGATCAATCGACTCAGCTCGTCGCCCTGATCAAGATATATAATATATTTTATGAATGTTATTAAAGTATTCTAAAAATATCATTTGAAAATCTAGTAGTGAACCAAATGATTTCAAATTATATGTGTAAATCATAATGAACAAACATATTTATAAGATATCAAGATATATTCTATACAAATAATATAATAAATAATATAAGAATATTTCAATAACGACAACATCGGGCTGTCAAAGCAGATAAAGTTATTAAGATCATTAATGAATTGAATTAAGTTAATTTTCACAAATAGAGCGCCCCTAGACTTGCCTCTAAGAAATATTTGATATGCTTCGTGGAATGCGCTTGAGTACAATATAGCTACAGCTGGAATTTGATGACGACCGATGGGGTCGATGGGATTTGCGGCTATTAGTTTCTATTACAAGCGACGCGACTTGACTAATTGCTGTGCCCAGTCCATGACCAGGCGTAAGGCACGGAAGCTGACGACAGTCGCATTAAGGCGCACATTTAAATGATTATAAATTGCATATGTATGTAAAATATATTTCATGCTGACGATGTTTTATCAATGATTTATGGTGACTGCTAAAAAATAAGTAAGAAAACCCTAGTCGGGGTGCCCGACTAGTACATACCCTGAATACAAACCTATCTAAGTTTTTAATATTTTCCAAAATATAAAATACATACAAATACAAATACAAATCCAAAATTTTGATGAAGTATAATTTAATACCTGTATTTTAATCATGTTTTTAATCGATAACAATAAAATGGAAACAGTAATGAACACGGACCTACAAAAAATTTGAAGTCTGCTGCTCTTGCAGATGCTGAGATCAACGCGTTCATACAGACGAACAGACGGACAGGGCTAAATCGATTCGGCTTGTCGTCCTGATGAAGAATATACATATTTTGTGAGGTCTTTCATGACTCCTTCTGACTGTTACATTTTTTTAACAAACCTATTATACCCGATTTCCCATTTTCAATGAGCTTAGGGTATAAAAAAACATTGTTTCTGCGCCAAGACTTTGAAGCACAATACAATTATTAATACATCTAGGAAGCACTCAATTGAAGGTAAATGCAGACTGATTGATTGTATTTAGATTTATGTGCATATACAAATATATATATTTTTATGCAATTTCGATTTTTAATATTTCAGCAAAACATTTTGAAGTACTTTAAAAAATATTAAAAGTTTTTGTTTATCAAGAGCCAAACGATTAAATATTAATGTAATTGTGATATTTTTATAAATATCTGATTGACTCTTTAAAACCAAAATTCAATTATTAATTTGCTCAAAGTTTTATGTAAGTAAATTTATTATTTTCTCTAATAAACTCAATCATGAAACAGCTTTATTTAATTGAATTGCTCAGCAATATAATTTGAGCTGTAGCAAAACTGTTGCACAACTTGAATATACCCTTTATTTACCCATATAAAATTGATTACAAGGCATTTATATAAGATACCATCAGCTGCTGCTGCTGCTGTTGCTGTTATTAGCAACAATCAGCAATCAGAGCGCAGTTTGCTCTTTGGCTTTAGCATAAGACAACATTATCACGTAGCTATAGCCGAGCCTTATCTACAGTAGCCTGGCAGCAACCAGCATGCCAAACAGCTGATAACAACAGAACCCGCCACCCTTTGAGGAAATGTCATTTTAGCATTGTTCAATGCATTGCATACAAAGCGCATACATATACGCATGTAAATATCTGTAAATACATATATAATTAAAAAAAAGATCGCTACGCAAAGCAGAAGCCAACGCGCCTTTTCCTGCGTTGCCAAAGTTTGCGATAAAGTAAAAAAAGTCTAAAAAACTTCTCGAATGCGACGAGTGCATACAAAAGATATGCCAAGTCGTTCTTGCGATATGCAGAGAAGTCCGAATGGAGGGGGACGTACAGAAAGGCAGAGAAAGAGACATAGATAGAGAGAGAGAGAGAGAGAGAGAGAGAGACAGAGAGATGGAGATAGACAGAAAAGAGAGATGGGAAAACTATGGCAAACAATGGGAAACGCCAAAGAAACTTTGATTCCAATAGCGACCAGACGACTTGGCGACTCGCCTTTAATAAAACGTTGAAAATGTTAGAGTAAAACGCATTGAAAGTCTTTCCAATACGGAACGGAAATGCGGCACAGACCCAGAAATGGGCCGAGAGTTTGTGCGTTTCGTTTGTTCCATAGAACACTGCGGCCGTACATGGCCCGACCTAGATATGGCTGTGGCACAGCCACAAAATACATAAAGATATTGCAACAGGCATACTTAGTATTAGTTATGGCATACCAATATGAATACTGATTATAATATGAATAGTTAAGTTATATATAATTAGTTTTTAATAAATATTAATTCGGAACTGTAAAACTATATTCTTTATTATGGCATAATATAATAATATAATATACATATTTGTGAAATTATATAAAAATTAAATATAAATATAATTCAAATATTGCTTATGTAAATTAATAATTAATTTAAACCTATATTTATTTTAATTTAATTTAATTAAACGTGATTAAGTATGACTTTTATTCTTTCAAAATGTATGTATCATTATATATGCATAAAAACTTATTATATAGAAACTACAGTCAACATTAAAAAGCCAAAAATTAAAAAAAAATATATATATATATATATATATATATATATGGAAATATAATAAATTTATATGCAAATATAAAATTTAAATGAAAATAAGTTCAATTATTTTTAAACTTTAATATCTACCAAAAATTTGAATGTTCTTTATTTTGTATTTTCATTAAATACTTATTAAAATGCAATACGACTCAGCTTGAGCTGCGTATCGCGGGGTAACTACTTCTAGCTCTATTTATGAAAAAAGTGTGTTAAAACCATTCTTTAAACATCTGATTATAAGCTTTAAGGCCGTCTTTTGTTCATATCTATATTAAAGTTGTTCACCATATCATATTTCTACACACCCAAATAATACAAGCATCAACAACAACAACAAACGGAACAACTTAATTCAATTCAATCGAGCTGCGATAATCACAACAAATTACACGGACAAGCATTGGGAACACAGCTAATAAAGTTATCAAACCACTTGACGGTCAGCGAAGGCAGAACAAAAAAAAACATTACCAAAAATCTAAAACGAGACGAAACAACACGTAAAATTCTCAGGAAACATACAGATGCCGCGACAGATTTTTGAATGGGGTTCTTTATAGATATGTATATAAATATATATATATATATATAAATGTGTGTGAAGTAATAAAAAATGATGTTGGCGCCATGAATGAGAACAGAGACGCGCAGTAATTGGAAACCAAAATTGAAACATTTGTATCTCAATTCGTAAATGTCTTCTTCTTTAGTTTTGGGTTAAGGCGGCATGCGACATGCCCAAATGTTAGCATTCTAAAGATAAAAAGATATTTGCATAATTGCGTGATTCGCATGCCGCCAAATGCGTGAATCATGTGTGGAGAATATGTTTAATAAGTTCTTGCTATTGTTGTAGTAATTTTTTTAAGGAAACTTTTGCTTGAATGGATAGAGCTAAATAAAAACCCAATGAGTCAAGTGACGCTTGTCAAGTGTTTGATTAGCTCATCATAGAACCGCAGACCAATTGATCTCAAACTGTGGGCCAACGAACTGCAACTGCAACTGAAATGCAACAATTGTTGCTTTTGTAGTTGTTGTTGCTGTTGTTGCTGCGCGGCATAAATCACTTGAAATGCCGCGCGGCAAAACAATGGAGCATGGGCATAGCTATAATATCGAAAGAGGAAACACACGCCAGACCCCAGCCACAGATTTAGATACTACCATAAAACCGTTCAAAAGACGCCAACTTTACCTGCTTTTTACCTGTCTGTTCATTTTTTTGTTTCCTCACTCCCCCAGCACAAACATTAACCAAACCGAATACCGGCTCAAAGTCAAACGAACGAACATGTTCGATCGTTGCACGTTTGACATTTCTTTTGTTCGAGCTGTGGTTGCCTTCGGGTTTGTTTTGCTTAATCAAATTACCCAAAGAGGGAAATTCGCTGTATGTTCAGTTGTTTATTGATAACAGAAATAGTTGTATTTGGACGATCGTGTAATTATTTTTAGTAAACTATTAATTATCAAAGCAAATTTAAAAAGAAGTGTAGGTAAATATTCATTTTTTAAGTCAATTTTCTTTTAATATATATATATATATATATATATATATATATATATATATATATATATATATATATATATATATATTATAAAATTTGCTTTAATTAAGTAATAAAATTGATTCATTTAATAATGCAAGCATTATTTATAGTTTATTATTTTGCATATAATAAAACTTTCATAGACGTTTAAAATAATGGTTACTATGCTGCAGCTGAACTGCGCCGTAAAAAAAATTTCGCTAGAGACCACAGTCAACAGTGCAAGCAAATACTGGGAAATTTCGACGGTTGCAACATCGAACTCCAACATGTTCGTCGACAGGTCGAATACCGATGCACGTCGAGAGATTCGGCGGCAAACCAGTTTTTGTTGGGCACACAGTCAACGACGGGCAGCTGGCGTGCACAGTTCGCAGTTCGCAATACGCAGTTCGAAACGGTTCTCGGCTCGTCGACGGTCGCGCGTTTGCTTGGCGTGCCAAAAAGCAAGAAGCAGAAGCTGACGCAGAGCACCAAACAGCATTGAAAATAAAATTTTGCCAAATCAATTCAAAATTGGTTTTTTCAATCGCAACGCGAGGAAATGAGACACGGCATACAACTAACAGCCAAATAAAATAACAAATAAATCAAAACAAAATACCGTATGTGTTGTCGATACTTCGTATGTATGTAGCAAGTATGAAATTGGTCAGCGGAAATATGAAAACACACAGAAAACGTGTTTGACATGCCAAAGAAACGCGCCAACTAAATAAATAATAAGCCAAAAGACATCAAATAAACATAATAAACAAAGCAAAGAATTATGCACATGGAATTGGCTCGAACGTACTTAAAGATACATTTATATCTTTCAGTGCAGTCGTCGTCGTCAATGGGGTTTTTATCTCATTCGATTTGTGCATTTTCTTGTCTTGTGCGAAAGTAAAAACTACCTGCAACACTTGGGCAACTGGGCGAGAAACCAGTTTTGTGAAAATTATTGACCATTGCGTTTGTTTTGCTCGTTTTTCGTTACTTCAGTTTAGGTTTCTTCTTATTTCGTCGAGACTCCCCTCCCTAAAATAATAACCAGAAATTGGCCATGCCGCTGCAAGTGTTGCACGACGACAGATTCGCAAGTTATTCTGTATTTAGTTTTGTTTGCAGCGGTCAGCTGAAGGTGCTGTGTTGCAATGGAATCGACGATTAAGACATGATATAGAAGGAAATATATATATATATATATATATATATATATATATATATATATATGCTACGTGATGAGAATAGAATAGACACATTTTTTATATAAAAAAATTCAATTCGAACAAATATTAATACTAAGCTTTAAGAAATTCAAATTTAAAAACAAATTTCTTTAATAATATCGTAAAAAATATATATATATGTATATATATATATATTTTATAAAACAGTTTTTTTTTTAATTTTAGAAAAATTTCAAATCAAATTAGAAACAATTGAAAAATAAATTAGTTTTATTATTTGTTTTTGCCTGTTTGTATTTACTGTTTAAAATTATGTTTTTAATTTGCAGTATGAATAATTGAAAATAAAAAATTCGAATATCTCCTGGGAAGATATCATTCAATAGGAAACTGAATTAAACAGAAAATATGTAAATGCAAATTTGAAATGGTGTTTAAATTAGACAAAAATTTGAAAAAATATTTTTTTTAAAACAATTTTGTTAAAAAAATAAATAAAATGTACTATAAACATCTTTAAGTTTACAAAAAGATTTTTAATGTAAGTCCATATTGGACAAATATATGCTGTGAATAATTAGAAACTTTGTATTTGTTTCCCAATTTACAATTAATTTATGTATGAATTAAATTGATTATTTGTATTTGTTTACAAATAGACATACAAAACATATTAATAGCTAATAGCTAACAGCTTTATAAGTGACTTTTTACACAAAACTCAAAGTGAATTAAATTATACAAAACTGAATAATTGTTTTTGCAAATTTCTAGCCCACAATCAAATAAAATACAATACAAAAAGTGCGTGAATAATCAACTGTAGACAAGTTCTATAATACAACACATACATATATATCTATATATATATAACGATCAAAGTGCAGCAGAGAGCACGCTCTCAACAAATATACGCCCCTTGGAAGTAATTATATCAAAGAAAGCAAGAGAGAGAGGCGCAGCATCAACAATATAACAACATGCTGATGCACACCACTTCGACCACATCGACGGCCACGATGACCAACTCATCCTCGTCGGCCACGCCCACGCCGGGCTCGACATCGTCCAACAACAGCGCCACGCGGGAGACGCTGCAACAGCAGCAGCAGCAACAGCAGCAGCAACTGCAGCAGCAACTGCAGCAGTTGCATACGACAACTCACAATTCGCGCCCGCCATCTCGGGCGCCCTCCATACTGGACAGTCCGACGCTGGCGCGTGTAGAACGCGCGCGTCTGCGTCTGGAGCAGCAGGAGCGTGAACGCGAACGCAGCAGCCAGCGCAGCAGTCAAGGAGGCTGCGGCAGCGTTAGCGGTGGCGGGGGTGGCAGCAGCAGTGGCACTGGCAGCACAGCGACGACCATGAATCGTGAGGATAGCCTGGAGCGCAGCATATTGGATCCAAAGGTGAGTCCAAGTCCAAGCGTCCTCACACACACAGATATACATATAAATTACAATTAAGTTTCCATCAAGGTTGGAGTTTGTGATGTGAAAATGAAAAGATTACAATGTCTGGCATGATATAGGGGCAAAGTCGAGGCATGCCAGGCAGGTAAGCCACTCAGCCAAGTCCTTAAGTCTCTCAAGATTGGGAATTAAATCAATGGGTTTGTTAAGTGGGCAGCCAGGCGAAGCAGCAGATGCCTCAAGTGCTATAGATAAACTTTATCGATCAATTGAAGAGATGTGAGGAAAAAGCACTAATGAAACAGGTAGTTCGTATATACAATATTCTTTGCTATAAGAGATATATGATATGAATGAGTTAGCAAGAAAGGTGGGATGAAACCAAAAAGATAAAGAGGTAGGTACATGTGAGGTGTATCTCAGAAACCTCTTAAGGTCTTCAACATAGGAATTTTCATTATAAGAATAATATGCATGAAGAATCTTTAAAGACATCCTTAAGATTCTTTTTCAATTTGTATCTCACATTTCATTATATATTATATAGAGAATGAATCTGAATTTGTTACAAGTTGATATACTCTTGGACATTGAATGGCTGCAAATGTGTTTATCGCATGTTTGCATTGTACAATCTAAACCATTAACCAATCTAATATATATACTATATATATATATATATATATATATATATATATATATATATATATATATATATAATTCTATATATACATATAAATCTATATGTGTATTCCACATGACGTAAATGGTTTTTGTTTTTGATTGGATTCACACTTCGATCCGTTTCTTGCTAAGTTCTTAGCTCATCAGCAATCTCATCTCAGTCAAATTTGTTTTGTCAAATTCACAAAGGCTTGTGAGTCATCCATTCAATTGTCATTGATCCTCAATGAATCAAATTTGAATTTTGTTTAAATTTCCTTGAAATTAAGAAAAATAAAACAATTTTTATTTATTTAAAATTAATTAAAATTATATTATGTAAAATATAATTACCTTTTATTTCTTTTAATAGTCTTTGCTCATTAATGATTTTTTGTTTGCATTTTTTTATGCATTCACATAATACTCCATGTTCGATTTAGTTTAAATTAATTAAAAATTATTTTCCAACTCTTAAACTTACTCTAAAATAAACAATTTCGACTTTTCTGCCCTTAAATTTCTAACAAGTCAAAATAAAAATATATATATATATTTATATGGAACTTTAATCCTAGCTCTCTGTCAATCCTCCAGACGCCAATAAATGTCATTTTGGATGTGGCAAATTAGTCGTGAAAAGTGCAGAAACAGAAACAGAAATAGAAACATAATGCGAGTGTATTCACATTCATTGTCGCAGCTAAACCAAATAAGCCATGTTCACATTTGCGGCTGGCTCCTTGCTGGCCCTGTGCCTGACCAGCTCTTGACGGCATTTCACTAATGGCCTGAACCCAACTTCATTTTCCCAAGCTATTTGTAGCTGGTACTGTTTCTGTATATGCATAAGTATATGTATGTATGTGTCGTGTGTATGTAAATGCTTTTTATTTTGTTATTATTTTGTTAACACTCTTATCTGTCGGGTTTTATCTGAACTGTGCTGTTGTCATTGTGCTCTCATCATCTATGTAGCATAAGCTCTTTAGGCTCTGCTTGTTCTACTTTTAAAGCTTACCAACTGAACTCCTGTTGTCCTGTTCATTTACATACTTTTGCGCCCTATGTCAACTTGGCCGAGAAACAGCAAACCAGGTAGCAACAATATTTCTATTTGATATGTGTTTGCTAAGGGCGGCTCTGAACAACAACAAACTAAGATAATGAATTGCAAAAGATATGGTCTTAAGATATGCACTATCGCTGCCTACGTATCTATGCTGGGTAAACACTGCTAGAGAAGACGAATCGTTTGCGATTACATGATCGATGGGCCTAGTCTGCCCAACCAAAGAGTTCAGCCACACGCTACAAATGTGGCGGAAGCAGAAGCTTTGCTGTAGGCAAGAAAGCTTAGGACAGTTTCTATGGAATTTTATGTGCCTTAAAGTTAAATCAATGGGAATAGGATGAATGCCTCAAGGAGGAAAGTAGATGTCATGTAATATATATACAAAGATAAATGCAATATGAAAAGAGTATTACAAGGGACTTGCAAGAAAACTATATATGTTTTATTAAAAATATATGGAATATGTGTCAAAAATGGAAAGAGCTAAGAGATCAAAAAAAAAATAACTAAGGTTAGTGTCTACTGAAGCTATCTTAGGTAACATCAAGTTTCCTATCTCTGCACGCGCTTCTTGGCTCATGAGCGTAACCTCAAGAGAAGATGCTGCATGATTAAAAATTTCCTTTATACCCGAATGAATGGAGTTTTAGTAAGGTAGAGTCATCTCTGATTAACTTAAGGGAGCTAGAGTCAACTCAGATCTATTGGAGACATTTAACCATTTAATTGCAACGAAAGTAGAGAATGCAGAATAGATCTATCAACTTTTATATCTATTATGAATGCATTTCGCAAATGTACATACATCTCACATCAGATATAAAGACAACAAACTTCTAAGGGAACAACCAAAAGACAAATAGACTTTCTAAAGACCGCAAGCCATAAATCTGTCGGAAGCTTAAGCTCTTAGAACTTACAGTTCACCTCTATTTCCCTATCCCTCCCCTTTCTCACTCTCTCTGTCTCCCTCATCGCTCCCCTTTCCCTATATCCCTTCCTCTCCTACTGCATTTTGCAATCTTAACTCTTATCTACCTCAGGCCAATCTCTTTAAGCAATCCATCATTGTAGCATTATATAATTTGAATATTCAGCAATGCAATTCTGTTGGACCACATAAGTTTTTGACCTGCTTAATTCAATTCGTTTGGCTTTTTCAATTCACTTTGGCTCAATGCCAAAGTTTGGCCAGCAAAATTGACTGATTACCTGAGAGCGCTCAAGTAGTGCATGCCAAGCCAAGTATTTGCCTCTGTCTGTCCAGTATTGATTCGGTAACAAATTGTGTGTAGAACTTGTGTCTGGTTGCAAATTGTCTGCATAATTTCCGCAGTTTCCGCAACGTTGCAACAAAAAGTTGCCAAATATTTGCGCAGTTGTTGTCAATACATTTCGACTGGTAAATGGAAGCTGAGCACATTGGCAGGCAAAAGGCGAAAGGCAAAAGTCGATAAATTCTTTTTAGCTTTCAGCCACGTTTTTGGACAACGCCCGAAAGCGCTTTGAAGGAGACACCAAATCAATACTGCACATTTTAGGGCCCATTTGCTGCACTGTCAAGGAGCTGGCGGCAAAGGTAGGGTGGAGTTCATCGAACCCGAACGGCCTAACGCTTCAAGTGCTTAAGACATTAAGACGAGTTCATAATTAGTCACACTTAAAAAGCCATTGGCCCTCAAAGTTTTTGCCCCGTTAGTGGCCGAGCCAGAAATATGAGCGGAGCCAAAAGAAAAAGCATAAAAAACAAAGCAAGCCACCAGCAAAATTGTAACCAGAGACATGCCACAGAGACAGCGCACCCAAGTTATGAGTAGGAAGCGCCAGGGCGACTCAGTCGAGCGCTCAGGGTGCGCGCGCGCGTCCACAAATGGAAAGTAAACAGCAAAAATCTCGGCAAAGAAAATGGAGGGAAAAACTTGGTACGTGCCCGTTCACCATATGGCCAGACTTTCCTCAGATATAACATAGTTGGCCCAATGTACACGGACATTGCATTGTCCATCACAGTAGTTTTGGCCAGTTTCAGCTACGTAGCTATGGCCAAGCCTCGCTGCACTCGAGTGCAGTTGCCAAAGGGCTTAAGTCGCGTATCTGGAGCAGAAAACATCCAACGGTATGTGGGAGAAATGTTGGAGGTTGTGTGCGAAGCCAGAAAGCGAAGAGAAATTCTTTTAAGCTATCACAGTTGAAATACCCTTGCAGTTCTGCAGCGCTGTCCACATAAGACTTTTATGCTAACTGCTCAGCATAGGACTCGAAAAATAGAAATTAATCCGAGCGGCCTATATGATATGCATACTTTAATGCTATCTCTAGGCATATAACTCAAATATTACAACAAGAATCTTAATACATGAATACATATATATGAATACATATTTCAGCATTTGCTGATGCCTGCTATATAGTGAGGGAAATGTAATCGAATCTGTATACCACTAACTTTCTAAACGACCCTCGACCAAAAAAAAAAAAATAAATAAAGTAAAAACAGAAAGAAAACAGGAACAACAATAACAAGCACCGCAAAACAATTGCAGCCCCCACGTAAACAATTTCAATAAATTTTACGTTCAATGTCAATTTATTTTGTGCTGCGCGTTTCAATTTGACGGTAGAGCGCCAACAACAACAACGAGCAACAACTACATTTAGAACACAGCAAATATCCATATTGACGTTGTTACATTTTCAGTGCTTTTGCAACAAATTAAAAAGAATGAAAAAAATAAAATAAATATATTTAAAATGAAAAATGTTTTTCACATGGCTGAATGCGCACAGCGACCTCTCACTGGGAGTGGGAGGGAGTTGTGGGGTTTTGGGTGACGAATGTGCCAGGCAAAGAGCACAGAAAGTGTGCGCGAGCAGCTGATCGCACAAAGAATATAGATAAGAGCTACTCCAGGTAGAGGTTGACAGATATAAGGCAAGAGAGAGATGGGTAGCAAGTGTGCGCCCTTAAATTATCTGTTGTCATCGCTTTTATTACATTTAAAACAAATTTTCCAATCAAGTCAATAAACGACAAAAGCTCTCGAAATAAAGACAACACCAAAGTGTTTGAAATTTCTGGTCATAAAATTGAACATGAAATTGCCGAAGAGCAGAAAGAAATCAGCTGAAACTAAAAATAACTTTTTTAAAATGAATTTTATCATTTTTCAATTGCTTCTTAGAAAGTATAAAAAGCAAATGTGCATGACTCAAGCAATTAACTTATAGTATTTTGTAATTTAAATATATTCTTAGAACT